TTTAAAAGAGACAGACCTCTGAGTTTGTTTCGGCATTTCTTCTCAGAGTAGTCAGTTAGGAAATGTCGACCTCATCGTTCGCTTGATAAAACTGACGTGTAAAAGTGTTGCCTTGTAGCCTATTTGCAGATATTATTCTGTGTCACATAAATTATATCACAACACCTATTACACCTACTGTTGCACATCTCTGCATTACCCCATGGTTGACATTAAGTCCGCCATCGTATATTATACACAGAAGTGTAAATAAAAAAAAAAATAGCGTTAGAAAAATAAATGACATTTTTCATCATCATTTTCAAATTCGTCATCTACCATTCAAGTTGCACTCATGCACACGAAAACCACTTCATCACTATTACCTACTAGTTGTTATCTATTATTAGAACTTGTAACGCCTCTATGAACGAACTAACAATTTGATCATTATAATTACGTTCATAAACACATCGTGTGTTAGTGGCAAATTACTGCAACGCTTTGGATGTGAAACTGAAATGTTTTATTAATACGTACGTGTAATTCCCCGATGAAAAGAGCAAGGCTTTTTCCAGTATACTTAATTATTATTCAGTATAATAGGGTAGATGTCTAATTTTTATTTTAATGTCCGTCTGGTAGATTATTTTAAATCATTAGACACGTATTTTTTAATTTTCTTACAGAAACGAATACTTTCGTCGATTTGTTGATTTGAAATGTCGCGTGACGTCACTTCTATGTACATTTTATATGTAGAAATGACGTTTGACTCACTCCTAAACTTTGATTCGTTTTATCTAAGTATTATTTTATAATAAAACCAAATAAAAAAATACGCGTCTAATATTTTTTCATTAACTAACTTAGGGACTAATTAGATTTTTAATTTTCATACCCTGTCATCATCTCAATTATTCTACAGGTATTACTGTACACATGCTAAAAGGCTTTCTATTGAGCATGCTCAAAATTGTTCAAAAATCGAACGCCTATCGATTTGCAAGCATGCCCGAAATGAGCATCCTAAGTTTGAGCTATATTCCAACACAGATGGTACTAAGTGGCTATCCCTCTATACTCGTTAAATACTTACTTAATGTCAAGATGGAAAAAATGAGAATTGTTTTCAATAATAATACTGAAGCAATAATTGTGATTGCATGTTTGAGGGAATCCAACGAAAGATGTTGTGATGAGTGGGCTTGCTATGTAGATTATAATATAATGAACTAAAATATGTAATAACAACTAAAATAATTCGTAAGTGTGGAAGAGCCATGCTTCGGCACGAAAGTGTCAGCTCGACCGAAGTGATACCATATCCTAAGGGAAAACCGACGTGAAACAACGCTTGCGTTGTGTTTCGTCGTGTGGGTTTACCGGAGGCCCAATTATCTTCCCCTCCTTCCTCAATCTCCCCAATACCTGATTCCCCAACAGTCCTCAAAAGGCCGGTAACGCACCGGTTATGTCTCTGCTGTTCCAGGTGTCCATGGGCAATGCCGATCGCTTACCATCAGATGATCCATCTCCTTGTTTACCGGCTCATCCCATAAAAAAAAAAACAAAAATATAAATACTAAAAGTTCAATTCTTCTCGTCCCTTTCATTATTAACAGTTATGATGTTATGTTATGTTATGTACGACCTCGATTAATAGTAATTGTGATTATGTGATAGCAAGATTGATTCTTATCGCTTTAAGATGGAATGCTTATAAAATGTTCAATGTCAATGCCAAGATGATCATAAACTGACATAAATACTACCTATTTATGATAGTTTTTCAATTAACAATTTGTTGTTCAAATCATGGGGGCTTTTTTAATCGGACAAGCCCGCCACGGCCTCCAAAAACCGCTGCAACTCCTGTAAGCCAGGATCTACAGTAGATACAACCACGAAAACACCGGAACACTAAACTTCGGCGCATCTCAGGGACATGAATAACTGTCTTGGTTCCCGCAACGAAATGACTCAGAAGATATTATAAGAGTAGAAGAAAAAACGATAGTTTCTACTTCCCTCGGTGAATTACTGCAGGAGACAGAATGAATTAAAGACACAAAAAGAGACTGTACAACTGGGAGAAGCCCAGTTGCCACGGAAATTAGGCTAAAACTTAACTAAAACACGGAACTTTGTTTCGGCCTCCGGTAGTCCCTTAATGAGCTGTTAGGACACATTAGAAAGGGTAATTCCTCTGTTACAATATTTTGTTGTTGTGGTTTAAATGTATCGAATTAATGTTCTACTCAGCACGTGTTGCTTGCATCAAATCGTATGCAATTATCACGTAACGAAATAATGCGGTATATAGACGAGCTTGCATCCGATACGATTCAATGATTAAAAATTCTAATATCGGAACGATATCGTAATAGTCAACTTTTTAATGATAACTGTGATAACGTTGCTATACACTGGGATTATCCCCTGTGTTGTGGGTGCGTTCACCAGTATACAAGTTCACATATACATGACACCGAGACAAGGAACAACAATCTGTGGATCACACAAAGAGTTGTTCCGTGCGAGAATTGAAACTGTGACGCGTTTCGGCAGCCACTGAACTGTGTAGTCAGAAAGTGGTTAATTCGTTGAAAACCTATAATAGAAGTAAACATTTTTGGAATTATGAATCTGATTGGACAATGCCAGTCCTACTACACGCTCCACGTGTATCATATGTTAGTTCGCCCACAAAAATGTGAAATCTGGAAACCATACTCAGTAATAGTTACACTTAGGCCTCAATTACGTTGATTCAAATGTCAAGCGTCAGTCAGAATTTCATAATTAATAATACGTGTCGTGTGAAATTCAAATAGAGATAAATTATGACTATATTTAGCCAACTTATGTTATGATTAGATATAAGGTAATAACATAATTTTCCAAAAACGATAAATACCACAAATCATTGCGTGTTCCTATTAATGCCGTGTAATAAGGGATGACCCTATAGTGATACTGAACACCAACACAGATTATTTACTTGATTCAAAGATTAGACAGTTCTAATGAATAATTACACAATAGTGTTACAACTAGATTTAAGAGCCTTTTGGGTTAGACCAAAAAATAGTGTAGTATTTAAAGACCAGGTAACCCTCGACAAATTAGTTATTGTTGGTAAGATGGAAGGAAAAAGACCACGTGGCCGATCACCTAGCCGATGGTGTGACCAAGTTACCAATCACACTGGACTCTCTGTTACGAAAGCCCTGAGAGAAGCCGAAAACAGGACAAGATGGAGGGTAAGAATACAGATAGCATTGAGAGCCTTTGAAAGGCACGACCTTCAGAAATGAAGCAAGCGATCGAGAAGAGAAGTACAACATACATACATACACTCATACATACATAACTTCACGCCTGTCTCCCATGACGGTAGGCAGAGACTAGGGATCACCAATTACCTGAACCAGCGACACGTTGCACGGCAGCCGGTTGCCCAGCCACCGCACCAACCGTACAGTCGAAAAATATTATAAAACACTCCTCGCTTCACCTGCAAAAATGCTTCGACACGAATGGGCCGGCTCGACCGGAGTGATACCACGGGCTCACAGAAAACAGACGTGAAACAACGCTTGCGTCGTGATTCGTCATGTGAGTGAGGTTACCGGAGGCCTAGTCTCCCTAGTCTCCCAAATCCCCGTATCCTCCACAATCTTCAAATTCCCAATTTCCAAAAGACCAGTAACGCACATGTAACGCCTTAGTGTTTCGGGTGTCCATGGGCGGCGCTGATTGCTTACCATCAGGTGATCCGTCTGCTCATTTACCGGCTTATGGTATGAAAAAAAAATCAACAAAGGACCAAATGTTACCTTGATATAAAACTAGAATACACGTAAAATAAAATGCCATCTGGTTGACCGTGAATAATGGACACATTCTGATTTCCTTTCCGTAATTATTGAAAAGCATTGGTAATTGAATTTTCACACCATGTGACCTGTTTTACACCGTAACTCGTGATTCATTCTCACATGTCCGATCGAACGACCCAATTGTTGTTTAAAAACACAAGTGTTCAACATAAACTTGAGTTGGTGTCGATTTATTTTTTATAACATCCTTTTTGTGGACAGTTATTCATTTTTTGGTACTTTGTGAATTTTGCAGTTTCGAATGCCTTCATTATATTTGTCCTCCATTTTAATATTGTTCTTTTTGCCTTCCCACTCTCTTCTCTTAGACTCTTATCACATGATTAGGACAAAATAAAAATAATGTGGTAATTCGATTTTTATTTCGTTCTATTATAGAGCATTTTCAAGTCCCTGCAAATGTATAATAGCTGTTTTAAATAATCCTAGGTGGTCCTAGAAGTTTCTCTCGGAACTAGTTAAATAGACACCTCACTCGAAGAAATTTGTTCCTCTACTTTTTTATCAAAATTAATTCTTATAATTTTCTTTCCTCTTTTACAGTTCGACCTCGCCTGTCAAGATTGGAAACGCTCCTTAGTGGGCACAGTTCACAATGCGGGATTTTTCATCGCGATCCCGCTGACAGGACTCATATCTGACAGATATGGCCGCCGTCCTGCACTCATCTTCGCTTCGGTGGCCAATGGCGTGTTCGGAGTCATTCGGGCATTGTCGGTTAATTACAACATGTTCGTTGTGTTTGAATTTTTGGAACCTGCGTTTGGTGCTGGAGTGTATACAGCGTGTTTTGTTCTGGGTAAGTGAATTTGTTTAAAGCTGTAAGTTCTATTCACATTTTAAGTCGTTTAACATTGAATTTACTAGGGCATGAACAAGTGAAGATTTATTAGGCACAATTCTACACTCAGAGACCTTTGCTCTGCTGTGGGACGATCATAGCTAATAAAAAAAATCTACACCAATTTAAACGTATTTAGGGTGGTGTAGAATTTATCGTTTTTATTTACCTACTGAAAATTTTCCTGAATCATTTTCGATTGAATTTGAAACCCCTGAATTAACCTTCCCAAGCATAACTAGCGTTAACAATGTTCTTTGCTTGCTCAGAGTTCGGGAAAATCTGGGTATTACTTATGTTCAGTTCTTACATAGAGAGAAAGAAAAACCATATATTTTGCTACGACACACAACAAGAATTTAGGAATACACAAAAAAGCCTTTGGTGCGTCGCAGCGCAAAAGGCTGGAGCTCAGCTTAATACCGTGGACCAGGCACAGAGGCTCGCGCCCACATCAGAAAAATGATATCAAAATGTCTATTTCCAAGGGAAACTTGAGCCAATATCTCATAAAATTGAATCAACTACATTACACAGAGTAAACGACATCAATATACACTATAAGTAATATATTATCACGGCTCAATTACTAAGGTCGTTGTACGCGGAACACTGAATGCAGAAGTACCACAATTTTCCTTGAGATTGGAGCGGCGAAGGCGAAGTGATAGTTCTAACGGAAACTAGTGGCTTAGGTACTCATTATTTGCAATATACAATGTGACATATTAATTGTTGTTATTTGGTTATGAAATAGAGAGGAGGTTTAGAGGAAAAGGAACTTTAGTTTAGGTAAATTGAGTTCGAAATGTTTTGTGTTGAATTTGTGGGCAGTGAGTGAGTGGTATACGAATTTTCTTTAATTGAAGACAGTTCATCTGACTATTCAACCTATTTAGAAGTGGGAGAGCCATGCTTCGGCACGAATAGGCCGGCTCGACCGGAGTGATAGCACGGCCTCACAGAAGACCGACGTGAAACAACGCTTGCGTTGTATTTCGCTGTGTGAGTGAGGTTACGGAAGGCCCAATTACCAATTTTATTTAAATTACCCGAGACGCCTCCCCCAGCAGTCACACTTGCGACCACTCGGCCAACGAGACAGTCTAAAAACCAAATTTCCATTTAGACAACATACGTTACCAATTAATAAAATACTTGTATCATACAATATTCATTAAGGACATAAAAAAATCGCTACTGCTCCGATTCCTTTGCCCCGAAATGTATTATTAGGGCTCGTACACAAAACTGCGATGCGATGCGATGCGAATTAGCAACGCAAAAAATTACGATGCAAATTGCTGCGATGCGATTTCGTGCGACAAGGCGTCTCCCAAAGTGGCCATTCCTTCGACACCGTACTAAACGTATTTTATTTAAATTAAAAACTAGGTCGTGACATGGATCGTAAAAACAAGTGTGCATTTCTGTTATTGCTTAGGAGGTACAGGAAAAAAAACAAAGAAGATTTTGAGAACATAAGATATTGATGCGCGATGCAAATCAATTCGTAAGTTCTTGCGATGCGTAGAGGGATCTCGCACATTCGGATGGACGTCGCATCGCTGTTTTGTGTACGAACCCTAAGGCTCAAACCAAGTCAGTACGGATATTTATATAACATATCAAAGTTAAATGTAACATCAATTTTTCTTATCAACACAAATCACGTTATAAATAAATGCACTTTCGATACATATACCTAAAGGGTCACGTGTGACCAACGTTGGTAATGTAAGCATGACCAACATTAGCTACACATTAAGCCGTTCAATAATAATTTAGTTCATTTTAATTTAGTCACCAAATCGATTATCAACTCCCATAATTACACTTTTACTTGGATTTAAATCACACTGGGGTACGGATAACATGTTATTATATTTACATACATACATACATCAACAGCCTATAAATGCCCACTGCTGAGCAAAGCCTCTTCTCACACGGAGAAGGTTAGAGCATTAATCACCACGCTTGCTCAATGCGGGTTGGCGATTTCAAACTTATAATTAGAAATTATAAGTTCAGGTTTCCTCACGATGTTTTTCCTTCACCGTTTGTCAGTGGTGTCTAAATAATCTTAGAAAGTACATATAACTCGGAAAAAGTCACATTGGTACTTGCCGTTGGTAAGTTTCGACCCCGCACCCTCATGCATGAGAAGTGGGCGTCTTAAACCTCCGGGCCACCACGACATTACATTATTATATTTGACCATTAGATAATAAATCTGAATTTATTTATATCAGATTTTTAGAAATTAGCCTATTAATGGAGCTGCAAACACATAGAATTATCATCACTAAATAGTATAAAGAAAAGTCTATCCGCCGTCTGTCTGTCCCTATGTATTCTAAAATCTTTAAAACTACGCAACGGATTTTGATGCGGTGTTTTTTAGTAGATAGAGTGATTCTTAAGGAAGTTTTATATGTATAATACATGCATATTGCATCCGTGCGAAGCCGGGGCGGGTCGCTAGTAATACATAGGTACAATGTTTGAAGTAAACCCATAACGTCGTCGTGGTCACCCAGAGTCATTCTCATGTATGAGAATTCGGGTTAGAAACCTACCAACGGCTAGTACCAATGTGACTATGTCCGAGTTAAATGTCCTTTCTAAGATTATTTAGACACCACTGACAAACGGTTAAGGAAAATATCGTGAGAAAACCTGAACTTATAATTTGTAATTATAAGTTTGTTATCACCGACCCACATTGAGCAAGAGTGGTGTTTAATCCTTCTCCGCGTGAGAAAAGGCTTTGCTCAGCAGTGGGCATTTATAGGCTGTTGATGATAATGGTGATGAAACCCATGACAAATTTACTAAGATTTCGATCATAAGACATTATTGTGTAGTTGCAAAATTACTTTGAATATTCTCTTCGGTCAAGAAAGGAGTCGTGTTATAAGAGAGATAGGACTCTTATTCATCTGAAACAAACCTATTTATGAGGCAAATATTATAGCTAAGTTAAACAATACCAAAGCATTCATAATTGCCATCCATTTCACTAGCAAACAGTCTCCGTCTCACCCAATTCTCTCTAACTTTGACATTTAACTAATTTACATTACACGGCTCAATTTAAAAAAGTATACCAGCCGTATTTACCAGAAATTCTGTCGCCAAATTAATTTCAGCACAAATACCGAAATTAGTTACGAGTTAGTCCTAAACAAACTGGTTAGGACTCCGTTTTGGGAGCCCCCTCTGCAAATACTTGGCTTCAGCCCTAAGTTACAAGCCTGGAATAATATTTGAGGGTCCGAAATTATCATGGCCTTCAACCAAGGTTCGTGTGGTTTTAAGTCGAGTCCAATTTTCATTTTAAAAGGAACAAATCCTAGCATGTACGTATAAGTTATTGCTAACTTTGATAAGTATTGCATTGTTCACAGAATGATCACAAAGATCATTACGTAGACAGGCAAATTAGTATTAGTACGAAATCTGAATCTGTGCTCGGCGTAGTTCTAACTTATTTCTAACTTAAACTTAGGTCAATAGAAAATTGTAGCCATTTCAACAGACGAGAGATTTTCACATCAATTCGTAGGTTCACTATTTATGGAACTTGTAATATCAAGGTTAATGACCAAAAAGTCAAATGACAGTTAAATAAATTAATCAATTTACCGCTTCATTGACTTCAAACACTATTACTTTAGTAATCTGTTCATTCAGAATATTTTTATCACCAACCATGTTTTTATTATTAGGTACCTTTCTTTTTATTTATTCTGAATTCCAAGCAGTTTTTATTGCGCATAAAAAGACTGACGTTCACTTCGCTGTTCCTTTTTTCTTTTTAACAATGGCTGCTAAAACGTCATTTTTATTTTCGTATTCCAATTTCGAATGTATGAAAATGCAAGTCATAGAATCGAAGATCATTTTGGACTTTGGGATTTTTCATCCTTTGATATAATTCACAAGGCAGTATTTTTTGTCGTACGCCAACTTAAAGTTTTGCAATTTGCAGCTTTTTTGCCCGTTCTGAGAATTGCAGAATTTGTCACACATCGACACGGCTTTGTTAGATTTTCCTCATCAATTTGGGGATTAGTTACAAGTTCGACTGCGTCGTATTTATAGAAATTGCAATGAAATAAAATAATTTCAATCAATCGTCACCCAAGTAACCTTCGCGTTTGATTGCTTATAATTCAGTTGTAACTAATTTACGGTTTTTTAGTGAACTCATCTTCCGGTGTTTGTTCCAAATCCTTCCCATGTTCATGATAAACCGGTAGTTAGGTTTTGTTTCATGGGGACCAAAAAATTTGCCATTCACACCTTTTTCCTCATTTGCGAATTTTCAATGAAGCGTTAAAGGATTGTGATGATTTCGCGGGTTATTTTTGGAAATCCACGATGAGTTATCAAACGGTGCATCTGAAATAAAAACTGTTTTACCTGAATGAGATCAACGTGTTTTCAATGTTAAAAAAAATGTTTGAAAAGAGGTCTCATCATTGATTGTAGCATGTGATCTATAAGTTACCTTACAACACACTTTAAGTTAAAAAACTTGATTAAATAGATCAGGACCAAATGGTACCTTGTCATCCTACACGTGACCAAACATTCAATATTAGAACCATTATTTTCAAATATTGAATCTTAAGTGATCAACGTCCAATTTTCTTTTTTTTTCAGCGTTGGAGCTCGTGGGACCAAAAGGCAGAGTCTTCGTCAGTCTCCTCTTCAACACTATGTTCATTCTCGGAGGCGTCACCGTCACTCTCCTCTCCTGGTGGCTCCTCAACTGGAGATACCTGCTCTTCATCATCTACACTCCTGCAGTCTTCGTCTTTATCTACATCTGGGCTCTCCCAGAAAGCTTTAGATGGCTCTTCAGTAAGGGAAGATACGAAGAAGGATTAAGCGTCCTTAGCAGGTCAGAAAAGATGAACAATGTCAACGTTCCTAAAGACCATTACGAGCAAGTTGAAAAGCAAGCCACAAAGCAAAGAGACGAAAGGAAATGTGAGAATGTTGAGAGAAACCAGTCGACCTTCAATCAGATGCTCACGTCTTCTATGATATGGAAAAGACTATTCATCTGTTCTTTCCTCTGGATCTCCTCGACGCTGGTCTACTACGGTCTTTCAATCAATGCTATTGAACTCTCCGGGAACAGATATGTAAACTACATAGTGATCTTGGTGATAGAAGCTCCAGCCAATGTCTGCAAGCTGATCTTTTTGGACAGATTTGGAAGGAAGAGGGTGATCGCTACTGCGTATTTCTTGACTGGATTGATTCTGATCAATTATGGATTTGTACCAGGTAAATGTTTTTCTTTCCTATTAAATCGTCGAATGCCGGAACGTAGATATACGCAAGACAATTGTGTCTCGCGTATATCTATTATGTCTCTATTATGTTCGTCTAATATCTCGTCATTATCTAATATGTGTGTCTAGTTTTCTATCATTTCTCATATGCCGATACAGATAAGCGGTTAATGCATATTTTAAGGGACTTGTCTGTAGTGATAAATTCTTCTACAAAAAAATTACATAGTTTACATTTACTTTTATATTTATCTAACATAACACCACTTCCATTGCTACAAATATAATGTTGTTCTTGCAAACAATAAGTTTACCACGCTAGTCTATTAGCTCATTTAATAGTGTGCATTATTATCGACCCTTTTGATAACACCAAAGACAAATCCAAATACCAACTGTTAATTAGCAAAATTAAAAATTAATGGATTCAGATAATCCAGGTTCAATTGTAACCTATTTGTGGGTGTTAGTGGTGTTAATGCAATTCGTTACAAACAGTTTATCGAAGCTCTCTAAACTAAATTAATTAACCACGTAATACGTGTTTAATACATTATATGAATATATAATAGTAGGTATGTTATTGTTCAAATTACATAGGCATTCTAATACCAATTATGCAGTGGAAATTGTTTAAAGAAAAACATTATTTTATTACTTACACAACTTGCTATTTAGTTTTGATTCGTTGCTCAATTAGTCAAGAGGTAGGTAGTACAATTGTGATGATGACAGGGTATGAAAATTAAAAAACTATTTAGTCCGTAAGTTAGGTAATGAAAAAATATTAGACACGTATTTTTTTATTTTGTCGTATAATAAAACAATACTTAGATAAAACGAATCAAAGTTTAGGAGTGGGGGCTAAAACGTCATTTCTACGTATAAAATGTACATACAAGTGACGTCACGCGACATTTCAAATCAATATATTGTCCACGGAATATAGATTGTATTCTATATTCCGTGATATTGTCGAAAGTATTCGTTTCTGTGAGAAAATAAAAAATACGCGTCTAATGATTTTAAATAATCTACCAGACGGACATTAAAATAAAAATTAGGCATCTACCCTATTACGAATTGGCACGTAGTCTCGATATTAACTAACAGATTATCAAAAGATTGCCTGACTTAAGCGATTTGTGATCAAGCTTGACAGATAAAACGAAGGATTCTCTTTTTGATTTGATTTTTGCCATACGCTGTGTATAACAACGCCTCACTTTCTCTGATTTATGACCGATAATGATAATATTCATATTCTATAATTTTGAGTCATGAGCACAATTAGAAATAGTGAGAACTCTGCTTGCCCCCTCCGGAACTACTGCGTATAGTATTGACGTAGCATTGTCCAGTGTTTAACAAGTAATATAAGTACTGTGCCGGTACAAAACAACATTTTATTAAATAAACAAAGTGATAACTTCCTCATACCGACTGGCGACTATAAACAAGTGTTTAATACACCTTTATTATTGAACGATTTTATGTGACTAGTTGACAGATATACTGTCTATAATGCATATACAGTCTAGCTCTTTTGAAATAATATTATTATCTTTCGACAAAAGTGTGGGAGAGCCATGCTTCGGCACGAATAGGCCGGCTCGACCGGAGTGATACCACGGCCTCACAGAAAACCGACGTGAAGCAACGCTTGCGTTGTGTTTCGTCGTGTGAGTGAGGTTACCGGAGGCCCAATTGCCCTCCCCTTCCCCAATCTCCCCAATTCCTAAATCCCCAACGATCCTCAAACTCCTAATCCCCAAAAGGCCGGTAACGCACTTGTAACGCCTCTGGTGTTCCAGGTGTCCATGGGCGACGCCGATTGCTTACCATCAGGTGTTCCGTCAGCTCGTTTACCGGCTTATGCCATAAAAAAAGTACAAATACGAAATTCTACACTTGTCTTTCAGAAGTCTCTAGTCGTGTAAAGAATTTAGTCACTGTAAATCTAGTGATAAAAACACACATCCCAGTTGAAAGCAACCAATAGCTCTTAAGCATTTCAAAAAATATATTTTATGATAATATTAATTTTTTTTTGTAATTCTTATTACAGTGGGCAACTGGTCAATCCTTCTCTACCTGGGTGGCAAGTTCTTCATAACGCTGGCCTACAACTCCCTATACGTGTTCGCGGCTGAAGTGTTCCCCACGAACTACAGAACCTCTCTCCTTGCTATGTGCTCTACTATCGGGAGGATAGGGTCCACAGTCGCACCACAAACTCCTTTATTGGTAAGCTAATTTGATTATTTGCTGTTTTTTATTTTTGCCTGCCTCGTTGGCCGAGTGGTTGCAAGTGCGACTGCCGGGCAAGGGATCTCGGGTTCGATTTCCGGGTCGGGCAAAGTATTACTGGGCTTTTGAAAATCTCACGCCTTTTATCCCCGAAGGGGTAGGCAGAGTTGCAGATTATGCCACTGTACAATGTAACACCCACTTTTCACTACTAATATTATGAGTCCCATGTAATATTGGGTGAGCCTTTTGCCATATATATATACATAAAAAAAATAAAAAAAAAATATACCGGGCACAATTCCAGACTCCGTGCTACTACTTAGAACTTCGACAGTTATCTTAGTCAAATAATCACCTGAGTCTAACCCTTAGTAGATTAACAGGCCAGGATGTTAGGTATATGTACCTAGGTATTTCTAGATCTGCTGCAGCTAGTTCCTCATTGCATTAATCTCTATGAAGAATGAACAAGGAACTCCATGGTTATTTATTTTCCAATATTATGTCATGTGATGAACGAATAAAGTTTTATCATTGACATACAAGGTTGTACGATTTCATAACCCTTAGTAATTTATGAGGTAAGCCTTTGTTGATAAACATTAATTTATGTGATGTTATTTCATCATCAAAACAAGACAAATGACGATCACATAACA